TCCTTGGCGCGGATAAACTCCTCGGCGACGGTGTCGCTAAGGGCCTGAAGGTCCTTGAGACCCTTTTGCAGAGCCGCGACGGCGGTGCCGTCTGAGTTACACAGTCAGTAAATCAGGAGTGAAGAAGGGATCGAAGAAAAAAAACAGGCTCACCATAGGTCTGGATCCTAATGTTCATCTTGGGTTCCGAAGGGTGAGGGATGGCGTAGGCGCAGAACTCAACGTCGGGACTGTAGTGAAGGAGGGGTGAGTTTTAGTACAACGCAGGCAAACCAGGGAGGTCTCTCATGACAGGAAATTGACGCTGTTTGAGAGAAAGAAAAAAAAAACTTACTTCTTCATAATGACATATCTCAGCGCATTGCCGAGCGTGTGCCCCTCATCGATAAACTCGAATGAGGCGGCTGTGTCTGTTGAGCCGGGCAGCTACGGACAATCTCACAGTCAGCCTCTCGCTCGCAAATCACCGAAGCAGACAGACTCACAATCTTGACGCGCTGGGGCTCCTCCTCCTCTTCCTCCTCCTGCTCAGTCGACTCCTGTCCCTCCTCCTCCTCTTCCTCCTCGGGCTGGTGAGAGGCGGGCGCCTCGTCCATGGGGACGTCTTCCGAGTCGGTTCTGCCGGGCATTTTTTGCGCTCTTCCTGGTTACTCTTCAATGAGGCCGACTCTGAGAAGTGTTATGAGCGTTAGAGAATCAGTGACACTCAAGGTGAAAATTGGCTGGTTGGTTCTTTTCGTCGCGGGGGGTATAATTCAACTTTCAACAGTTCGACTTGCACTGCGCGCCCGCAGGTCGGTCTCTCGAAATTTTTTGATAACGGACCCGCGGATCAATTTGATAAGCTGGCAGCTGGCGACCACCACATATCTCTGGCAACAGCTGTAAGAGATGGGACTCACCAATCCGGCGTCCCTACCACATGCAAGCTTACATCGCATCGCATCGCATCGCAAAATGTCACGGTCAAGAGGCGTCACAACGAACAAAGAAGTTTCGATGGGAACACCACCTCGCCTCGCGCCTCGCGCCCTCTCCAAGATCCCCAGATTTACCTCCTCTGCACAAGGGCCATCTATAGACTATAGGGGAAGAGGGCAGAAAAGTTCATCGCTCGGCAGATACCTGAAAAGGGGGGGGTGAGATTCGACGAGACGCCCGTTCTCCTACCTATCATATTCATGTTCAGTTGTTTAAAAAGAGACCAATATTGCTACGATCCTGCATCTACCATACATGAGTTTTGACAACATCGTCATAGCATGCAAGGCATTACCTGCTTACCTGGTTGTTTGCAGCCCGCAAACCAATAAAAACCCCCAGCTGTGATGGACCTCATCTTTCCGCGTGGGGAAAAATCGAGAACAGTACGGAGTAAAGAGAGCGCAACCATCACCACTACCACCACCACTACCACCACCACTACCACCACCTACTTACAGGCGCGCGGCAAGATGCAGTCACGCACGTAGTTCCGGTTGTTGGACGCACGAGCAAACCACCTACACCACCCTGCAGTTTGCAGCTTGCTAGTTCACGTCGAATGCTCTGACTGGTTCCGCAGAAGAATGATCCAAAGATCAATAGCGCGCTTCTTTTTTTTGTTCTTTCTCTCGTTCCCCAGTTTGTTCTTTTCCGGAGGTGAGGATTCCATCACCCTGCATTTCTTGGTAACCAATCCTGGGTTGTTGGGCACCTCGAAACCAGGGTAAGCTTAAACTCGTGTACCGACACTTTGACTCATCTCGATGGTGAATGAAAGCAATCAAGAATGTCACCGTAATAAGCGAATGCTTTAGTATCCTCAGTGTAAGCAAGTAGTTGAAAGAATACTGCGTACTCAGGCCCAAATCTCGCAATAAAGTCCCATCGATTCGCACCCCGTGTTCGTAGAACACTATGGACCTCCAAAAGCAAAATGTCTCAGTCCGAATATCAAATTCAAAGATGCTCGAGCCTCAAGGGGCCCCGGCGGCGCCTCCCCGAACCCGACAGCCCAAGTTCCGGGTTGAAGTCTTTCCTTCTCGGTGAGACAAGAAAGAAAGAGAAAACCCACCCCTTCTTTCCCCCGTGGAACAAGGGCCCTCTTCACCGCATCGTGTCCACGGACCATCCAACTCCCGCGTGGTTGACGTCCCCGGGGGCGGCGGCGTAAGCGCGCGGAGGCGATAGGAGAGGCTGGGAGAGAGTTCGGATAAGACATCATACATGGCATGCATGGACATCATACGGCATCGCGAGAGCCTTGCTCTTCGTCCTCCCCTTTCCCCCCTTCCGCCTTCCGTGCCCACTTCCGTAAAAAAAAAAATCCCTATCAATGGAACAAAACAAAACAACCGGGGCAAGGAAATCAAAACCTGATCGCGATCCCAGAGAGCCAAAGCGTTACGATGCAAAGCCGACAAGGCCGTTCCGGTTTCCCACCCTTTCACTCCTCGCATTCCCCTCCCAGTCAGACGGCCTGCGTTCGGATTCTGTTCGTTGGCTGCCAAACCACACTCGACCAATTCGTGATCGTCCGGCGCTGTCACATCGGAAACGAGGTTTGATTGGCCACCAACCGCACTTTATTGTTTCAAGACAGGGTCGGTGTAAGCCATATGATTGGCTCGTTTCCTCCATTCTCAAACCGACACCCAGTTGGTGAGTTTAGCTTGGTGCGTCGTTGAACCGGGGTTGGTCAGGTACATCTCGCACTAGGTCTGGGAAGTCACTTGTAATTGTGAAGGTGTGCTATGTAAGCAGCATTCAGTCCTCGCTCACCAGCTGCATGGATTGACGGATGGTTTGCAGATGACGAAGGTGAACAACGGCCGTCGTCTGTGAGTCCTACCCAGAGATGGGACGGAGACGTTCAAGGTGGAGGAGGCGTGTTCGGCGTATATGTGGAAAATGTATGTGCAGGCCGAGGGAAGAGACGTCTTAACTCGGCGAATCGTCTGTGCAGGCAAAGCGAATGCTACTCACAAGCCAAAAAACAACAGCCGCGTTTTTTTCTTCTGCTTGATGCCGCTGAGGAATTCCAGGATGAAGATGTCTGTACCACCGTTCACAGTACCAAGGAAACCTGCCTGCAAGTGGAAAGAAAAAAAGGTTGTCGTCCCGAAAAGGATGAAGAGAAATTTTTAGGGGATGTAACGTCGACGACGAACCTGGAACTGTGGTGGGGTTTGGGGGTTACATGGGGGGCGTGAACATGTCGTTCGGTGAGGGGTGCGAATGCGAATGGAGATCGGTGCTGACATACTGGATGAGAAACGACCATTCGTATCTATCCGTACTGAAGACTGATAGAACCAAAGAGGTATTAGCAGAGTATCCGTCGACGTCGTGGTTATACTACCTTCATCTATGATAATCATATCAATCCCATCTAGACGTTGTGAATCGGCATGGACGCATTAAGAAACGGGAAATTTGACAGTTGGCGACGTGCGCAGGAGGTGGCTCTGGCGTCGGTGACGACGACGGCATGTAGAATACTGCAACTCTCCGACTCGTATTCTTCTGCATTTCACTCATCAACTTCATGCCAATGGTACGTGCGTCTTGTGCCACAACTCAACTCAGCCTCTTCTCTGCCAACTGTGATACAAAGAGAAAGAGGCTGGTGACACATTGACACATGGGGTTGCGGCTTAACGGTCGTGGGATATGGCCAGGATCTTCAGGGACGTTTTCACATGGATCTTCCCCCTCCAACCCCCCTGCTCTTCCTGGCCTTGCCTGGCCATGACATTGCCGTGCGGAGAAGGCAAGAGACAGAGTGAACCGGCACCAGCTAATCTCGCCAAACTCAGCCTTCAGGAGGCTCAGGTCAGGTCAATAGAACGAGGGGCGGGTTTCAGCAAAGGCCTGCCGCCCTACGAGTGGCTACCGATCGCCAGTGGTGGCTGTCAAGGCCGGAAATCCAGCGAGCGGAGACTCAAGACAAGATTGAGCACAACAACGCTGCCCAGGTCAATACGAAAGCCAGCTGTTGTCAACGTCAACCCGAGCGACTGCATATGGTGCTTTCTACGCGGCAGCGAGGAGCAATCAGAGTCGAGGAAATAACTTTCTGGCTAGTGGAAACGCCGTCTCTAGTCCAGAGCTTGCTTGGTCGTGAGCCGCCGCGCGCGACACAGGAGCGAGAGACGACCCATACTGTTGGCTGACCAGACTTGAGACTCGGACGGCCGATTGGGCAATCTATCATGTGCAGATTCATCCATGTGGAGTCTCTGGGTCCGTCAGGTGTGATCAGGGGTGGCGGACGTGGAGGGGTGATACTGGCGGAGGAAAAGGTGGAGAGGTACTATATTTCACCGGTGAGAGTCTCGTTTGAAGTTTGGTTGAAATATTCCGAACCTATCGACGGAAATTTCAGGCTCTATAGTTGGGTTGGCAATGAATCGGTTTGATCGTTTGTAGTCTGGTCAGTGGCACTATGGGGCCGAAAGAGAAAAAAGTAATTCGAGAAACACACGACAAGGTCTTTTCGGTTGTCGAGTATCGGATGCCCCTCCATTCATGGATGCCTCTATGAAGTTTTTCGGTCCAGTTTTCCATGGTGAGCCAAGATAGCGGGCGATAGACATTCGCACAGGCCTCGGTTGGAAAATGTGCTTGTCGCGACGCAGATGCTATGTGCAGGTTAGCCTCTTTCTCGGGAGCCCCACCAAGGGATCGCAGGTAGCTGAGAAATTGTTCTCACCTTCCAATTGCCGTCGTCGCCCCCAGTGTTCGAGTTTTCTCACTTGGGGGCCGCAAGTGGCTTGAACATCTGCCGGATAGGAGAGAATCGTGAAGGGCCGACGCCCGGACGGGCCAGAGCTGCCTAGTGATCGCTCCGTCTGATGTGGCCCGCAAGGGGGCTGCAGCGCTGGCGTGCGGCAGTGACGAAGAATGAGCATTTAATAATACCACAAGGGCCATTAGGAGTTTGGAGATGGCCGGCAATGTGTGCGGGAAAGCACAGGCACAGGCACCAAGCGCAGGCGCAGGCGGTACCAGGATATCTAGACGCGATGGCGTAGGCACAGGCCACCCGGGCTGGCCGTCTGGCAGTGTCTTTCAGGGTCCGGTGACAGGTTGAAAGCTGCCGTCTCGAGATCATCGGCTTGCCCAAGGCGTGGTTGACGCCTCGGCGACAGCGGGTTGGTACCAATATCGCGACTGATGGGCAACCCATGGAGCACCTCCGTCCTTTTGCGCCCCACGACAGACTTAGCACGTAGGAGGTAGACTTGGTCGAAAGCATGCCATCTAATACTGCGTGGTGCTCCACGGCAGTGAAAGCAATGGACGTTTCCATATATCGCTGTGATGCTGCGGTTGAAACAACCGAGTCCCGGCTTTGGATGATCCACTGGCAGGGCAGGCCCCGTCATGGCAGGTGCGGAAGTGGTTAGTGCCAGGGGCTTGATCTCGCAAGGTGAGCGAAAGTCAAAAGTTGTGAGAGAGCGCTGGCTGAATTCTGGGTGTTGCCAGGGCTGTTTGGGCACCACAGTCGTGTTGCACGTAGGTAGTTGAGCTGAAGGCGGAGACCTGAACTGCACTGCGTACGTATTGGTGGTACGTACGTCAACGAGGGTCTCAGAAATGGAGTCGTGATAGTTTGGGTCGTCTTTGGTTTATACGATACAGATAGTGTTGCGTGGTAGCGGCGTAGCTGAGCTGACTAGCGGTTCTGAATTGCCTCTGCTTCGGAAGCGGATGACGAAACAGGTGCCAAGCCACTTATCGCGATGCAACGAGAACTCAGTGTCCTCTACTTTGAGCCGCGGTGATTCTCGTCGGATGAGGCCGCCATGATTCTGTGCTGCTGTAGTCTACGGCACGGCAAGCCTACCGAACCGAGCTTCGACATCGAAAAGAGGGCGAAAATGAGTGAGGGGATTGTGTTGTCTAGGGACAGAGTTAAGTGTATTGAAGCCCCGCCAGGGGTGTTTCCGTCTGGTCTTTTGGATAGCATATCCGTCACCTTATTGTTGCGCCTCGGACCTTCCTTGGCTCGATCTTGACATCGGTATCTAAGTGCAAAGGAGGATGGTTCCGATTGCTTGTCTGTTGAGTTTCCCCGTCTTTGATAGAGTGCGGTAATCACGGTAGATACATGGATGACATAGGTAAGGGCGTGTTGGGAGCAGGCTGAGCAGGTATTCCTCATACTCAACAGGGTTACAGGTCACCCTGGCAGGTCGGGGATGTCTTGTCTCGCACGAGGAGAATTGTCATCCGGTGTCGTCAAAGGCCAACCCATGGCCCATGGTGCTTGATTGATGAAGTGCAGTCTGTGCCAATCCTGACAATCTGGTGGGAGAAGTTGTGTATCCTTGGGGAAGGGTACGCAGTACTCCGTAGTGCACTACGTAGTTGAGGAGGGTGAGGGGCACGGGCGAGTGGGTGAGCGGTGGCTCGTGTGTTGCAGGATGGTTGGCATCGAACCCAATCAGAAACAATAGTCTGCTATTCCTGCCGCAGCGTGGGCCAACCGTCGCGGCCTTGTGAGCTTCGCCTGTGGTAGCCGTCGATTGGTGGTGAGGCACGACACAGCGTACCTTTCGATAGGTTGTGACGGTAGAAGAGTTCCATGGTGGAAGACACTACCACGCGCTAGGTACCCGTCCTTTGGCCACCAGGCATCGTACCGTGGTAGCGTTGCTGAGATGGCTTCCCGTACTTGAGATGTGGTAGTAGGTAACTACCATGCTGTGGTAGGTATGGAGTGACTTGCAAGAAGTATCCGCACCCAAGTAGGTAGGCAGGTATGCCATGCCAGGCACCTCAGGCACATGAGCAAAGGTGCCTTGCCTTAGCTTCCCCGAGGTGCTGTGGTAGCTTCCCCCTCATCATTCTAGCTGCTGGGCTTGCATTGCAGCCAGTTCTCGTCTGTGCATGGATATCGAGATTGAGATAGAGAACAAGAGGGGAGCGTTGCCACTGTTGTTCATCATGCCATGGGCCCGCGATAGTTGTTTCTCTCGGATTCTGCTATTAGGAGGTCGTCGAGAGTATCCATCTCGTGGTGGGTTGGATGATTGATCAGCATCATCGGCCAGAGAGCTCCAGTCAGTCCTGTCATCCCTTCACCGTCAGTTTGTATGTGAGCCCGAATAGGAAGTGTAGACTGTGTGGGAGTTGTGGACTAGGGGTTCCGAAAGAGCTCAGTGAGGATTTAGACAAGGAAGTGGGAGGATGTGAACAGGCAAGGAGGAAAAGAGCAGGAACCCACTCGGGGGAAACTTGACCTTCAATGTCAAACAGCCTACTGTGTACGGAGGTCAAGCGGCGCCCCCGCTCACCACATCCCACGCCCCTTTTGAGATTGAACACGATCAGGATTCCCACCGTCTTCCTCCGCTCTTTCTCTTTCTCTCTCTGTCCTTGAACTGGAGTCTTTCCAGCAGCGTGGATGACAGCCCCAGCCCTGTCCCGTCCCGTCCTGTCCTCGCCTATGCTAGGTTTAGTAGTATCTCTGCGTAAGGTGGTCGAGTTGTTTGAGGCAAACCACATTGCCACTCTGCGAAAAGTACCAGGTAGCCCAGTAGCACCTCCACCATTGCTACACGCCTGCGAACCAACCAACAGCTGGAGAAGGCCCAGCGCACCCGAGCCGACGGATGCCACTCTGCATCTTGTCGTCGCTCCTGACACTGAGTGGTGCTTCACCAGGCGGAGGCGAGGGGAGAAACGTAGAAGCGTAGAAGCAAGAGGAGAACAAGAGAAGAACGGCCGCAACCGTCAGATGTTGCTGTCCAATCAATTCCGTGTTAATGAAGTGTTGAAAGACCGAGGGCCTGGGTTCTGAGGTGGCCTGGAAGTCTAGACTGCCTCCGCCGCACCACCAGCCAATGTCACCACCACACTCTCTGTCGTGTGTGTGTGTGTGTGTGTGTGTGTGTGTGTGTGTGTGTGTGTGTGTGTGTGTGTGTGTGTGCTGGATAGTGGGAGAATACCACAGTGGAATCGCATTTGTGGCATGAGTGCCATGATCAGGATACTTCGTAAGGTAATCCGTACTGAGAGAAGGGGCAAGTCAAGCTGGAACTGCTGGCAGGTGCATCCATAATCCTGTAGTATGTATACTACGTACAGCAAGCACATGGGCGTTATGCACACACCCCTTTCCGATGAGAGGAGCCACCCCTCCCCCTTCCTGCCCTGGAATATTGTGTACGGAAGTACGTCTATATCAGCCAGTCAATCGCATCACTTGCAGCATAGATCCCGGAAACCCTCAGCACATCCGACATTTGTTGTAGTATCGATGGATTACTAAGGTGAACTCAGCGGTACTCTATAGGGAGTAGTGACAGGTAAACTGTATGCGGGAATGAGAAGAGTAGAGCAGAAGGAAAGGAGGGAAAAGAGCAACAGAGTAGGTAACAGAGATGGGCCTGGTGTGCCGGCTGGGCCATAATTGTGTCACTCCCGTGTTCCCCTTTCATAAGAAAATAAAACAACCACAGCTGCCCCTCTACTCCGTGACCCCCCTCCCCCCCTTCCACCCCTCTTACCTCCTGGTGTGTCGCTTTCCTCCAAGTCTCCATGATCCATCCTTCCAGCTGCTTGTCCAAGGGCCCTGGTCAGTTCTTGATCGTCTTGCTCCATCCAGTCTCACTTTATACCACTCTATCCCGTGCCTTACTGCGTATCCGCTCTCCGTAAGGATACCTTACAGACCTTACTCCGTACGGATACCTGTGCAAAAGTGAGGTAAACTAAGGTGGCCAGCACTTTTATTTCTCGACAAACTTGTCACTGGATTGTCACCACACCCCCGTCGTTGCACTCTGTGTATGGCCTTTTACCCCCTTGGTCCCTGTTTTCTTGACCTGTCCTCGACTTGTCAACTTTGGGGTCCCCGTCCCCGTCCCCGTGCCTGTTCCAATCCCAATCCCCGTCTCATCCTCGTCCGAGTCTTGAGTATTGAGAGTCTGAGCCTGAGCCTGGAGGTGTCTCGACGCTTGCTTTAAACACCACCCCCTCCCCTCCATCCTTTTCAACTTCTGTTTTGTAACCCTCGTCTCGTCCAGCGCTCGCTTCTCTTCCCAACCTTCTTCACCCCGTCCATTCTTCTTCTTCTATTTCTCCTTCCCCGATAACCCCCCTCTCCTCCTTTTACCGGTTTCTCAAAACCCCCCCGCGCCTGGCCTTTTCTCCTCCCGACGTCGCAGACCAAGTCTCTCGCTTTTTTCTCAAACAAAACAAACCACAACCTTCTTCTTTCGTTGATTTGACCTGACGACCCGACGGACCTTACGCTACTACTTTTACTACCAGCTTCCACCCCGTAGTCTACTCCGTCTCGCGCCAACTAATTAATACGACCATATACCCTCTTCCGCAAACCAAAACTCAACATTGGGCATCTATCTACCTACCCATTCGGTTGACTCGAGAAAAGAGAAAGACAGAAAATATTTCCCGCCAACTAAACCCCCCGCGGGCCCTGATTCGATCTGAGACTGATCTGCTCACTTTTCTGGACACCACCTGACACACGAGCCGACCTGGTCGACCCCATTGTCTTTTGTCAATCAGTCAATCCGTGCCGACAACCTTTCCTAGGCACCACTAATTTTGGGCACACAACCGGCCGCTGCGCATTCCACAGCTCCAGCTCCTCCCCGTCGCAGTCCGTCTCAAATCAAAGAGCGGCCAGCCAGCCAGCAAAAAAGCAGCAAAAGCAGCAGCAAGCAGCTCTGTCTCTTTTCTTATTCCTACAACATTTCGGATTGTTCCGTCCCGCCGCCATCCCTCACCTAGTCAGCCAGACCAAGCCGCTTTCCGTCTACCCACGCTCCGACTTTTCACGGCCCAGCAGCAATCAGCTACGGTACCTTGACCTTTAGAGGCCTTACCTTTAGAGGCACCACACCATCACCTCCACCACCGCCCAGTGCACCCACAACCCGCCAGGCTAATTCCTCCCCCAGCCCGCTCTCGGCCATTCTCGTAAAGCTCAAAGCGCAAGCTCGAAGCGTCAATTGCTGCGACTCCGCGCTTCGCAAGAAAGGGCAAGAAAAACAAGGACAAAGAGTCGTCCACTGACTACTCACCAAAGTCACTGCCACCAAGTCTACCTTAGCCGACAAACCAAAAAAACCGACTTAAAGTCGAGTCCTCTCGCTTCGGCCTTGGCGACCCCAATCCTCTGACACAGAAAGAGTTGCAGTCGCGCACCTCCTCGTCAAAAGTCAGACGTCGACAACTCCATCCATCTCGACCCATTTAAAACTGGAGCATCGAGCAAGGGAGAATCGCGCATCTCAATCACCCAGCGTTTGACGACATCGCCAATTCGCCCTCTTACTAATTTACCAACGACTCGTTGCATCTCGATCAATTCTGCACGGGTTTTTCATTCTCCGAACTTGCATATCGGCAATCGTCAAGCCAAGTGAGGCTCCTTTTGCAGACCATACAGCAAACAGGCGTGTCGGGTGCAGCAGCAGCAACCCAACCCGACCCGTCTCCTTTTTTCTCGCTTCATTCCTCCCAACCTACCAACAGCAACTATGAGCACAGCGATCGCAATGGCTCCCTCTCCGGCCCCTCACGACAGACCGTCGTTCCCTTCCGACCTCGCTCCCGCGTCTTCCGCACAGCACGGCGCTTCTTCGCCTGCACAACAAAGACCTCTTGCACCAACTGGAACTCCCAATGCGACGGCGCATCGGTCAGGCAGCGGCAGCCCTAGGGGTGCCGCCCAAGCTCCCAAGTCATCTCCTCCCAGCGCGTAAGTTGCATCCCACGTCCATCCTATCACCTCGCAACCGCAGTCAATTGACTCTATCTTCCTTTCCAGCGCGAGACATGCCAGCGGTGCACCAAAGATCGTCGTGAAAAAAGAACCCAACTCCCCCGACTTGCCGACGACCCGTCACAGGCCACGCAAACTCGACCTGTCCAACAAGGGGGCACACCCGGGCTCCAACACTCCCGGCACTGCTAGGCCCATGACTGCTAGGGACAACTTGGGCATCCAGGAGGTCGGCCTTGCCTGCCTCTCGCCCGGGTTCGTTACCCAGGACCCCATCATGAAGGAACAGCTCCAGCGCAGCATGAGTGTGAGGGACCAGCAACGCATGATCATCGAGCAGAGAATGCAGCAGCAATCCGCGAAGGGCGATGGCCCTGACACCTCTGGAAAGGACCCTGTGTCTCAGTTCGCAGCAAAGACCCCCGGCCTGTCTCGCAGGAACAAAGCCCAGCTCTCCATCCTGCCGCCCTCCGCTGAGTCTTTTGCCAACGAGCGTGTCATCCAGTCGGCCCCCTTGGGACACTCCTTCACTGGCCGCCAGCATCCTGCACCGCTGTCTCGTCACATTACAAACCAGCCAAACACTCTCTCCAACACTTCTCACATCCACCACGTCCCTGCCAACCAGACAAACAACCGTCTCCCGCCCATCAGTGATGTCTTTGGACAGGTTTCTGGCCACCCCGACAATGCCCCCACCTCTTTGTACCCCCAGACCAGCCGTCCCCCCATGGCATCACCTGGTCACCCTCCTCAGATGCAGCATGGCCCTCCTACTTCCGGACGTGCCAGAGAGTACAAGTCAGCGGAAGAGGCACAGCACGAGATTGCCGGTGGCCGCCCCGAGCTGCTCCCTAAGATCGTACACTACGGAAACGCTCACCAGCCTCCTACGCCTCCGTCTCCTGCCCCGGGAAGCAGAGCCGCTGATCCCAGCCGCAGCGCAAGCAGGCGCCGCACCCGTGCCGAGTACGAGGACGGCAGCCCACCATTGGGCCATGGCCCTCCCCCCCAGCGAAGAGGACCATTCGGCGCCGGTCGGGACAGCCCCGAGAGCCAAAGGCAAAAGCGCGAGGAGTTCATGCAGCTCTGCGCCAGAGCCTGGGACCTTTTCCACTCTTAGAGAGTCTTTTGTCATCTTTGTTCGATTCTTCCACTTCAACGAGTAGGCCAATTGCGTCTCACTCGTAGGTTTCGATTTCCTGCGGGATCCGGCCCCGCCCTTTCGTCGATTCAATCTCGGCCAGCTTGCATGACTTTGAAGGAGTGTCACGTCCACTGTGACTCTCCTTGCTTCTCTCCTCCAGTCGGAAGAAGAGGAAGTAAAAAATATATATCGCAGCAGGATAGGATTTAAATCAGGGATTAATGTCTGCAACTACGAAGAGCTTCCTCCTCGGCACGTCTCCAACAATGAACGAAACCGATCATTACGAACTTCAGCTTTCTCGAGGGAAAAGCGATGGACTATTTTCGCGCGCGGCTAGGCGGTTACGAGGCGGTTGGCGCTACCGGCTCTGGTTTGCTTCTATTCTTCAAAGGGGCAGTCACGGTTTGAGGAAGAATTTTACGTTCGATTCTTGCACTGGAAGCTTAAGATGTGCGCCAGGGGGCGTTTATTTGCTTTGTCATTTTTATGTGGTTATTACCGGTGTTTACGGGAAAATGACGGGTTGGCACGAGATTCATGAGCAGAGAAGAGGGTGCAGATTCCTCTCTGTATGTATTATCTTGGGGTCGTCTGCTACGGGGAAAGAATGGTGGTCGAGGGATATATCCTCGGCGCGTATCTCTTTTGTGTTTTATGCTTCCTGCTTCTCACCTCGGGAGCCACCAACCTGTGCGCTATTTTTGTCGCATTGGTATTAAGTATATCGGAGCAAGAGGTACTGAAGATTCGACACGCATATACAAGGGGCCTTGAGGCTTTCATTCTAGTTCAAGATCAAATCTTTCACTCGTGTGTGGTGTGACATGTGTGATATGATAGGATGCAATGTGACATGAATTGTGACCGGACAGATCAGGAGGTGGATGTGAAGGGGCAGCACTATCAAGATGACGAGATGTGAGCCCAGCTTTTTCACGACATGGAAGGAGGGAAAGCCAGGAGTTATAACTCTGGCAGAAGAACACATGAGACATACAGAAAATGAATTTCATGGGAGTAAGGCAACAACGAAAGCTTTGGAACCGGCGACGAAGACATTCACGTATCTCCATTACAAAGAGTCCGGAGCCATTCAGAGGCAGAGCGGCAGCCCGGCCGGAAGACGAGCAACAGGGGCTCGGCCTTCGACA